CAAGCCTAGTAATCAGAATTTGAGCCATGGAATTCATGTAAAGGTGGAAAGAGAGACTGACTTGATACCACAAAGCTGTCCTCTCACTTCCACACGTGTACCATGGCACATGTGTCCCATCCCCCCATACCATGCACACACACAATAATTAATCCAAAATATTACAAGTAGATCTACAAAACCGAGACAGGAGAGTCTCCCAAGTGTTAGGGGCCAGCCTGGGCTACACATTAAGTTTCAGGCTATCATGGGTTACAGAGTATCTCAAAACTACAAAAGACCAAAAATCAAAACAAAGTACCCCTCCCACTAAATTACAATTCATACAAATTGAAGTGAGAATCATCTCAAATGTGCTAAAAGCAGTATTTATTCTTAGTGTCAGAGAACTTTACAAAGTATTTTGACAGGATTTCTAAGTTGATGTAGTCCTATAAGATCTGTTTAGTATATGTTAATACAGAGCTGGTCACCCTTCTGCCTCAGCCTCCACAGTGCTGAGATTGTAGGCGTAAGTTACCACAGGCTCTTCTTTGTCTCTTTTTTATAAACGAAATTTTTAAAAAATTTGGGTCTTTTTGAGACAGGGTCTCCCTGTAGCTCCAGTTGGCCTGAATCTGCTATGTAGACCAGGCTGGCCTTGAAACTCAGAGATCCACCTGTCTCTGCCTCCCAAGTGGTGGCACCACACCTGGCAGAGATTCAATGTTTTAAAAAAATATTTATTTTATGTGTATGAGTGTTTTGCCTGCATGTATGTAAGTACACCATGTGCCTGCAGTACCCATAGAGACCAGAAAAAGGTATGAGATCCCCTGGAACTGGAGTTGCATGTGGTTGTGAGCTGCCATGTATGTGCTGGGAACCAAGTCTGGGTCCTCTGCAAGAAAAGTCAGTGCTCTCAACTGCTAAGCCAAGTCTTCAGCCCCTTTTTCTTTGCTTTTCTCTTCCTTTCCCTTTTCTTGCTCTTTCCTTTCCTTTCTTTTTCTTTGATCAATTATTTTTGACTTGGGAAGTGGAGACAGGAGGATCAGGTGTTCAAGGTCATCCTTGGCTACATAGGAAATCTGAAGCAAAGCAGGACCACACAAGTGCCTGTCTCAAAAAAACCCCAAAAAACAAACAAAAAGCCCCCAAACAAAAACAAAACTAGTAGACCTTGTCTCAAAAATACCAAAACCCAACCAACCAACAACCAATGCCCCCCCCCCCAAAAAAAACCGGAAGCTAGAGAGATGGTCTAGCAGTTAAGAACTCAGGTCTCTTAGGCTGGGCGTGGTGGCGCACGTCTTTAATCCCAGGACTTTGGAGGCAGAGGCAGGTGGATCTCTATGAGTTCAAGGCCAGCCTGGTCTACACAGTGAGTTCCAGGACAGCTGGGGCTACAGAGACCCTGTCTCAAAAAGACCAAAAAAAACCCCAAAACAAAACAGAAACAAAAAACTCAGGTCTCTTCCAGAAGATTTGAATTTGGTTCCCAGCAACCATCATGTAATTCTAGCTCCAGAGTATCTGACATACCTCTGGTCCCTAAGGGCACTTGCTACTTGAGAGCACACATGCTCCCAAGCACACACACAAAACAGAACTCACTGACCAGCCAACCTAGCCAAAGAAGTCAGTTTTTGGTTCAGTGAGAGACCTTATCTCAAGGCAATAAGGCAGAGAATAACAGGAAACTTAGATGTATTGCTCTGGCCTGTCCATGTGGGGTACATGTACACACCCATACACTCATGTCATTATACTATAAACACACACACACACACACACACACACACACACAAACAAACCCCGAAAAAAACAAACAAAAAAATTAAAATTAAAAAAAAATTTTAAATACTAAAAAAGAATTTATTTCACTAAGAAGGCTCCATACTATGGGATCAAAGAAATACAATGCATATTCAGTGCTTTCAGTGCTTATGAAATAAAGAAATTGCATATATATTTCACATATTCATAAAAACTTCAGCGACTGATCATCAAATTGAACTGCCTATTACTGTGTTAATTTTACAAATATATAGGAAAAATCAAATATTTTGAGAGCCTACTATAGAAACCAGATGTTGGGGATAAAATGGTGACGAGAGTCCCTAATTTCAGAGAATTTCTAAAATAGTGGAAAATGTAGATAATAGAAAAGACAGCTGGGAGCTGGGCATAGTAGCCCACACCTTTAATCCCAGGAGGCAGAGGCAGGCAGATCTCTATGAGTTCCAGACCTCGATGGTCTACACAGCAAGTTCTAGGTCAGCTGAGACTACAGGGAGACCCTGTCTCAAAGACAAAAATCCCTAATGAACATTGCAAAGGCCCTCATGGAAGAAAGAAAGAAAGAAAGAAAGAAAGAAAAAGAAAGAAAGAAAGAAAAGAGGGAGGGAGGGAGGGAAGAAGGGAAAAGGGGGGATGGATGAAGGAAGGAGGGGGGTGCAGCTGGGGATAGTGGTAGAGTGCTTGTATATCATATGTCTGACCCTAGCTTCTATACACATGGACAGACAGGAAGGATTTGCCTTACTCTCTTTGAAAAGGTTTTCTCAGGTTTTTATTTTGTCTTTAGAGAAGTCTTCATTATGAAGACAGGTAGAACAGACAACAGACAAGCATGGACCCCTGCAGGTTGCTTGGGGGCACAAAGATGCTGTTTCATCTATGTCTTGTCATTCAAACAGATTCTGGCTGCTTAGCTATTTGGCCACAGTAGATGAGATGACATCTACTTTGTTATTTCCAGACTGTAAATTATAAATACACATCTAGAGTATATCTTCTCTGCATCAGTTTCTATATCCTTTTTTTTTTTTTTAAGACAGGGTCTCACTATGTAGCTCTGGTTGGCTTGGAATGCACTATGTAGACCTTGAACCCACAGAGATCCTCCTGTCTCTGACTCCTGAATGCCAGATTAAAGGTGTGTGCCACCATGCCCAGCTTTATATCCTTTTTGCCTGAATGGAGGACTTTCATTAGATGCTGAATGAAAACAATATTTATTGACAGCAAACTTCTCATAGAATGACCAGAATGAAATGCCTGAATTTCTATGGGCACACTGACAAGTTAGCTCTGTGATAATCAGAGATAATTATCTGTATTCCTAAGGGCCTCTAAACTCCTCAGAGTGAGAACACTTTGAAAATCTGGTTACTGATGCAGAGGCAGGATGGGACTCTGAGGCCCACCTTCTTGAACAACCACAGATGCTTTGATGAGGGACTTGATTCTTCATATTAAAAGAATGTGAGGCCGGGCATGGTGGTGCACGCCTTTAATCCCAGCACTCGGAGGCAGAGGCAGAGGCAGGAGTTCAAGGCCAGCCTTCTCTGTAAATAAACCCCCACCCTATGCTCTGTTAGCAAGCCCAAAAAAAAAAAAAAAAAAAAAAAAAAAAAAAAAAAAGAATGTGTTGGAGTCACTAGATGTTATGCACTCCTATTCCTTCTTGATTATTTTATTTTTTAATTTTAGGTTTAAGAACTTTCAAAATGCAAGAGTTTCTGCTCTCAAGGGCAAATGAAACATACAAGAAGTTTGGATTGTAGCCTTGGGCAGCAGCAAGCTGCAGTGAGCTGACTGCCTAGTGAAAGTCAGCAAACAAGGCCAGTAAACATTTCCCTGTTGACTAGGCCTATGAAGACTGTACTAAGTGATAGAGAAGTGATACAGGTGGCTGGGCAATGAGGAAACCAGTGGGAGGAAGAAGCTGGCTGTATATGTAGGTGTTAAACATGGAAGAGCATCAGACTGACTGTGCTAATGGTAAGTCAATTTAAGACTGCCAGGTGGTACATGTCTGTGTTCCCAGCTCTTGGGAGGTATAGGCAGGAGGTTCAAGAGTTCAAAGTCACCCTTGACTACATAGCAAGTCTGAGGCCAGTCTGGGTTACATGAGACCCTGTCACAAAAAACAAGACCTCCCTCCCACGCCCTGAAAAAAAGGAGTGACTGTTCTCCAGTTCTCTTGATTCCCTCAACTGCCCTTTTATTATTTTTATCTCTTCAAATCTGATTCAGAATTTCACTTACAATCCAAATTTCCCATTAGGGTATGGAGAATACAGAAATAGTTTAAATTACTTGGTGAGTACTTAGTAAATGATTGTCTAAATTCTAGCTATGAAGGGGAGGTAACATTCATCTAAAAAGTTGGCACTGGGGGCCTCGTGTGGTGGCGCATGCCTTTAACCCAGCACTTGGGAGGCAGAGGTAGGTGGATCTCTGTGAGATTGAGGCCAGCCTGGTTTTAGATAGTATCAGGCCAGCTGGGACTACATGACATCTTGCCTCAAAAAGACCACCTGCCCCTCTAAAGAAGTTGACACTGGGGCTAAAGGTGTACTTACTTGCCTACTTGCAATCTCTAGTACTGCAACAAACAAGTAAACAAGTGATCTCTAGAAGTAGCAGAGAATGCTAAAAAGTTTGCTACTACCCTTCATGTGGGCATTGCCAATAAGATGTGGACACTTGAGACCCAAAAATGCTTCACAATATTTATTTATTTTTAATAAATAATTTACTGAGAATTTTATACATGCATATAAGGTGTTTTGATCAAATCCATGCCACTCCCTCCCCTCCAACTCCTTTCCCCATCACTTTTTTCTGGTAACTTCATGTACCCTTTCTTCTTCTTTGATTTGTTTTTTTAAATGGGGCTTTTGGCTACTCTAACATTCCCCCCTCTGGAGAGGTAACTCTAAACTCTTTTAAGGATTAGATACAAGCTCCCAAATACTTTCGACATTTTTGGCCTTTAGAACAGAGGCCCAAGGACATCTTGACTTTTAGCCAAGAAACTGGCTATTTTTCTTTGGGATCTTTTTACCCTAACTGCCTAGCCAGTTCCTACCTCCTATTCTTACCACACCATCCTCTGAGGAGGTTACCCAAATTTCCAATAGGGAATAGGGACGCAGATGCTTCACAATATTTATAACAGTAAGCTTGTACTACCTCCTCTGCAGAAACATATTGAAAAGGGATGGACTTACCATCTTCTGTTTCCTGCCACACGATGCCTTCAAGGTTGACACTGGTTCCAGGTTCACAGGGGCCCAAGCACTCAGGCTCTGTGGCTAGAGCCACATCACATGTGTTGACTCCAACAGATCGGGTACGGACCATGATCTGCTCACAGGGAGATGAGATGTCATTATTGACCACTGGCACCAAAAGGTGCAGTGGCAGCACTGCTGGTGTGGAGACAGGTGACTCCATCTGTGAGAGAAGAGAAGCACTAGCTGAGTTGAAGGGAGATCATCAGAGGAAATACCATGTTCTATTATTTAATTTAGTCCTACATCTTTTGCTGCCCAAGAGCAGGTGCTCTTATAAGATTTTGGTCCTTTCTGTCAAGTCTATCTTATGAACCACTACAGTTCTGTGGTGAAATGAGAGTTTTTTATGCAACAAGCTCTATATTTATTTCATTTATTTACCTACTTATTTTTATTTGTTTGTTTGAAAAGAGGTCTAATATAGCCCAGGCTGGCCTCAAACTGCCTAAGTACCTGAGAATGACCTTGAACTTCTGATCCTCCTGTCTCTCTCAGTATTACTGTGTTACCATGCCTGAACCCACCTCCTCTTAAAAAAAAAAAAAAAAAAAAAAAGACAGGGTCTTACTCCACAGCCCAGGCCCCAGGCTGGATTTTTACTTTATAGCAATCCTCCTGCCTTGCCCAGCTCTCTATTTCTTTTTCTTTATTATTTTTATTTTCTGTGCTATGTACAAGTGTATTGCCTGCATTGTGTTAAGTGCACCTGTGCCGTGCAATGCCCGCAGAGTCAGAAGAGGGTGTTGGATTCCCCTGGAACTGGAGTTACAGAAGGCTGTTAGCAGCCACATGGGTGCTGGGAATCAAACCCAAGTTCTCTGTAAGAGCAGTCAGTGCTCTTAACTGTTGATCCAGCTCTCCCGCCCCCTCTATTTCTTTTTAGTAACTATTTTCAAAAACTATGATTGGCTCCCTGCAAAAAACCAAAACAGAGGGTGTGGTGGTACATATCTGTAATGCTAGCTCCTGGGAGTCGAGGCAGGCAGATCATGAGTTCAAGGTTACATTGGACTACATATTGAGCTCTAGGTCAGCCTGTGGCATACAAGACCCTATGTCTCAAACAAACCAAAAGACCAAAATGAAAAACAAACTACTTCCCAGCTTCTGAGGCACATATTACTGTTACCCTATACTTCCCATCAATCAAACACTCAACAATCTAGCAGGTTAGAATCCACGAATATAGGCTAGGGATAAAGAGAATCCAGATCTGGGGATGCCATGATTCTTAATGATCCTAGACGCTTTAATGCAACTTTAGCTAGGAGGAAACTCACTTCAAAGTTATTGGGAGGGCTGGGAGCAATCTGATGGGTTTTTGAACCTCAAAGTAGCAGTGGTTGGTTAATGAGTATAGTATTTTGGAGTAGGACACTAACACCAAATTTGTCTGCAAGACACAGCAGGTGCTGTTGTCATGTAGAAGCCAATCAAACCAGTGTGAAGATGTACTTGATTTTGCATACACAGATAAAAAGAGTTAAATACCAGCAATCTAACTAGAAAATTAAAACCTCACAGAACATAATTACTTAGGTTCCAAGATTGAAACATGTCTGTAGATAATATAAAAAAGCTCTAACAGAGCAGGTGATGATCCTTTAGTATTTATTTAGTTTAAAAGATTTACTGTATTTTTAAAATAAAAAATTATATTTTACTTATTTTATGAATGTTTTGCCTGTATATACGTAGGTAAGTGCATCTGTGTTGTGCAATGCCCACAGAGGTCAGAGAAGGCGTTGGATCCCCTGGAACTGGAATTAGGGATGGGTGTTAGCTGCCATGTGGGCTCTGGGAACTTAACATGAGTCCTCTGCAAGAGCAGTGAGTACTCTTAACCACCGAGCCATCTCTCCAGCTCCTATTTTTAACTTTTTTGATTGATTTATTTTTTATTAATTTTATGTGTATAAGTGTATTGCCTGCATATGTGTAAGTGCACCCGTGTTGTGCAATGCCCATGGAGGTCAGAAGAGGGCACCAGCTCCCCCGGAATTGGAGTTATAGACAGTTGTAAGCTGCCATGTGGGTGATGGGAATTGAACCTGGGTTCTCTGCAAGAGCAACCAGTGCTCTTAACTGCTGAGCCATTTCTCCAGCCCGACTGATTTATTTAATGTGCATGAGTATTTTGCCTACATGTATGTAAGTGCACCATGTGCATGCAATATCTACAGAGGCCAGGAGCGGGCACTGGATCTCCAGGAACTAGAGCTATGGATGGTTTTTAGCCTCCATGTGGGTGTTGGAAACAGAACCTGGCTCCTCTGCAAGAGCAGCCAGGGTTCTCAACATCCAAGCCACCTCTCCTGTCCTTTTATTTTTAGTTATGTATGTGTGCTTGAGTCTGTGTGTGGGTATGTGCATATAAGTGTGGGTACCAAGGGAGGACAAAAGAATGTGTTGGATTCCCTGTTAAAGGCTTTTGTGAACCACCAGACTTAGGTGCTGGGAACCTAATTCCAGTCCTCTCTAAGAGCAGCAAATGTTCTTTACTGCTGAACCATCTCTCCAGTCTTCCTTTACCTTTTAAATCCTAGCATATATTAAGTTGACTAAATACCAGCTCTGAGTCCATAATGCCCAAAACATAATTTAGTATCTTGTATACATAATAGATACTTAATAAACACATGAACTGACAATCTCTGAATATATGGTATCAATCAACAGACCTAGATAATCAAAGTCAAGGATTTGGTCCCTTTCCCCTTTAAGAAAGACTTTTCAGATGGGTTAAACATGGTCCTTGACAGTCCTAAACATTAAGATGAGACCAACAGGGACACTGAATATGGTCCTTAAGAGACCTACAGAGAAAGGCACATATAGTCACAATCCAAGGTGCTAGATAACTCTGTGAGGGACTCTGGTTCGGAGATAATTTAATGCATGATTACCACTCTACCTATAAACTCGCTTAATCCCCCTTACATATAAAAATTCCTAGACTTGAAAAACCAGTCTCAAAACTGTTCCATTCTTTGCAGTTGGCTCTGATGTCTTGGCTTTGAAAATGTCTACTATTTTGGATAAATACTGTTAGAACCCACAGAATGTTCATTCACTGTGATTCTAATTCTGTGATTCTAACTAATTATGGTCCCTGAAGAGCTACCAAAACACTACCTGTTATCTTTCTATGACTCTCTCTCTCTCTCTCTCTCTCTCTCTCTCTCTCTCTCTCTCTCTCTCTCTCTCTCTCCCCCCCCCTTTTCATAAAATGAAATGGATGCAGAAGTCCACATAATGAATCTTCTGCATTTACTATAAACAAAGGCATATTTTGCCTTCTTGAAAAATCGTGATTTGGGGGCTGAAGAGATGGCTCAGTGGTAAGAGTACTTGCTGCTCTTACAGAGAACCCAGGTTCAATTTCTAACACCCACATCATGGCTAACAACCATCAGTAACTCCAGTTCTAGAGGATCTGAAGCCCTCTTCTGACCTCCATGGGCACTGCACGACACAGATGTGATTACATGCATGCAGGCATTACACTTATAAAATAAAAGTAATAAATGACACATTAAAAAAGGAAAACCTGTGAATTTATAATTTGGCAACCATCTCGTAATGTGATAAGTTTAAAAAACACTTTAAGCCAGGCATGGTAGTACATGCCTTCAATCCCAGCACTGGGGAGGCAAGAGACAGGTGGATCTCTGTGAGATTGAGGCCAGCCTGCTCATAATGATAGTGTGTTCCAGGCTAGCTGAGGCTACAGGGAGACGCTGTCTCAAAAAATAAATAAATAAATAAATAAAGAAAGAAAGAAAGAAAGAAAGAAAGAAAGAAAGAAAGAAAAATAAAATAAAGAAAAGAAAAAAAGTGAAGAAAGAAAGAAAAAAAGAAAATCTGAGACAGAACATACAGATCATCTTTATTCTTGGCTACTCTGCTTTATTTTCATTTCTCTGTTCTTTTTATGGGAAAGAACTGAGACAAAAGAAATATCACATTATATTCTTTTGCTTAGGGTCTGATCCCTTTCCTGAATCTTCTTTTAGCAAGATAAATTCCTTCAAGGTCCTCTTTGTGGATATCCAGAGTGGACTAAATCTTCTAGGTCACAGATGGGTGTAGTGGCTCATGCCTAAAATCCCATCACTCTACCAGGCACAGGAAGTCACCAGGAAGATATCTACCCTTGCTCTCTCACATTCCAGGAAGATAAGCTAATATGCTCTAGATAAAGCCCAACCCTCAATTCTGCACTGAGAAATCCAGAAAACACCACCCAACTGTAAGATGGACGAACTACTGCTGGTCTGGGGCAGAATGTCATATTAAACCTTGCTACTGAATACCTCAACAGAAGAAACACCAGCTCAACTGATACACCTGAGGGATTCATTAACACATACACACCCAAACTACCCTTATAGATCAATTACTAAGTAGAGCTCTAGATCTGTTTGTATGAAGATGGCTTTACTTCATTATTTAGTTACCTAAAAGGAATGTTTTCAGGTGAGAAAGTGAAGAACTCCACCTATGGGTTTACTTTCTAATTTTTTTTTTTTTTTTTTTTTGTCTTTTTGAGACAGGGTCTCCCTGTAGTCCCATCTGTCCTGGAACGCATTATGTAGACCAGGCTGGCCTCAAACTCACAAAGATCCGCCTGCCTCTGCCTCCCAAGTAGTGGGATCAAAGGCATGCGCCACCATGCCCAGCACTTTCTAATTTTTTAAAGATGTATGTATTTTTATTTAAAAAATTTTATTTTTGACAATCTCATACATGAATTATTTTTATATTTTTACGTGTATGAGCATTTTGCCTGAATGTTAAGTATGTGCACCATGTGCTCCTGGTGCCCATGGAGGCCAGAAAGGGCATTGGATAATCTGGAACTAGAGCTACAGATGATTGTGAACTGCCATGTGGGTCCTAGGGACTGAACCTGAGTCTTCTCTAAGAGCAGTCAGGGCTCTTAACCATTGAGTCATCTCTCCAGCCCTGACCTATGTAGAAATCTCTCTAAAGAGAGATCACAGAGAATCACAATAGTGTTTAATTATAGAACCAGCTCTGTTAATTATCTTTTGGACACATTTATAATCTACATTAGGCCAAAATGCATTATAAAATTATAAAATGAATATAGCACTGTGGGCTGGAGAGATGGCTCATTTAGAGTGCTTGCTGTTC